TCCCGACCCATATGTTGTGGTGGGAAAATTGCCAGACCTCCCGGTCTACCGAGTGAGGCCAGAGAGTGGAAGCGGGGGTGTAAGAACTATACACCGCAACCATGTTCTGCCCATTAGCCACTCTATGAGGATGCCACAGGACAAGGAGCAAGGGAAGGCACCTGCAAAGCCAAGGACACGACTACAAGTAAAGGACCAGAAGCGTCAGTCAAGTGGAGTAGCACCATCCATGAATCTGGACCCTTCTGATTCATGTTCTGAGTGGGAGTATGAAGTGGTTCGGAGATCTTGTAGTGCAGGTCAACCAGAGGACTTACCTGCATGTGGTGGGGAACCTGAAGAGGGGTCTAAGGAGGCTGATGAGAGAACGGACCAAGACAGGTCTGAGGAGGCCATCCCTATTTCAGAGGACGAGAGTGGAAAGGAAACGGAGAATGATAGTGAAGAGGAGACAGAGCTCTCAGCTGGAGAGAACCAAGGGGGAACTCTAGATAGGAACCCGGATGGTGCCCCATTGACTACCTCTCAGGACTCTGACTCTGACCCAAGTTTAGAAGATGGTGACGTATCCCTTAGTGGGTCTAACGTCCAGCTCAGAACTCTTAAAAAAACGCCTACGACCCTTAGAACTAGGCCCAGATCAGAGAGGCAACGTAAACCAGTTATTCGTCTGACTTATGATGGGCCAGGGAAAGCTAGGGACCAGCCTATTACCATCGTTCATAAAGGGGTCATTATCAAGTTAGGATTTTAGGCCTTAGCCCTGTAGATCCTAATTGACACGTGTAGTTGTCTCATGAGGACATGCAGACAGTTGGGAGGGGGAGGGTGTAACCCCGTGGTTTTTTGTTCATGTCTGTTGTAATTATTAGAGAACTCATAAATAAAAACGTGGAGTTTAATATATGTTCAATTTGTGTTTATGGAATATGCAAACCTATTGTGTTTTGAGTTTAATATATGTTCAGTTGTTGTTTAAAAAAAAAAAAAAAAACAATGTAACTGTAATATGTGGTTGCTTGGGATTTTATTTTGGTGGTCGGGGAAGGAGGGCTTCCGGTACGAGGAGAGACGTGACGAGAGTGACAGGGAGGATGGAGGACATCACTGTTGCTGCGAACTGTCACTGTTGCCGTGGACTATCGCGGTGGGGGGACACCCCACTGAACTGCTGTTCTTGCGAATGAGGGGGTAGAAAAGGATTCCCGTCGACCTGTGGAGGTTGAAGCTGCGTGGGTGACTAACCCAGTGGAGAACAATCCCGTTAGGTCGCTAGCTCTGTGGCTACCGCTAGCGGGCTTCGGCGAACGGTTGGTGGCTAGCCAGCTGTGAGAGACGCGTGGACCTCGGTGAACGGTTGGCGGATAGCCAGCTGTGTGTGACGCGAGGACCTCGGCGTGGATTCTTCAACCTTGGAGAGAACATTGGACAGAAGCAGACGGACTACGGCACGTACGACCTCCTGGAGAGGGACGTATTCAGGTGATGGGGGACATGGTTGTTGGGGACGTTAATGGAAAGAGCGGGAAGCGCGTGAGTGCACCAACATCAGGCCTGCAACGACCGAGACTAATTTTTAGCTGCCGGCTTTAAGTTTCCTTTCTGTTTAACAAGGTTAATCGTATCATTTCTATTTCATTACTGACTGATTAAACTGTGTTATTGTTCATTAAACTGTTTATTTGTTTAAAACGTATGCTTATTCTACTGTTATACTTCATGGTATAAGGGGTAAACATTTAGAATATTCAGGTAGAGATACCAACTGATTTAAAGAACTCGGGTTAGCCACCCCCATAACGCTAAGGACGCTAGGGGGCGCTACATATGTATGTATACTTTTTCAAAAACATGGATCTTATAGCTTCACAGCAGAAAGACATGGTTTCCACTTTCCTCATCCACCACCAAGAAACAGAGTCCCCCGTTTTAAACCACCCAGCTTTTAAAACATTAGTCTGTACAATTTTTAATTAATAGGGGTGGAGCCAACATTTTACATTTTCTATATGAAAATAACACACTAGCAAAAACAAACATTTTAAAATAATAATTTAAACAATAATTTAATTTAAACAATTTAAAGCTAAACAACAACAACCTAACCCAACCAGAATCCAAAAAAGATCCCTCCCTCTCAATCAGTGTTGCTTTTCCCAACGAGGCTAATTGAAAACACCAGTTCCTTGTCAGCACTACTCATGGGCATGCTTCCATGGCAACACATGACCCTGTGACCTCAAAGAGAAGGAGAGAATGATCAGAACAACAAAATCTTAAAGTTAAATTAACAGTTTGATCACCAGGTTTAAGCCTTTTCCCAAATACAAACAAAAAAACTACTGCACTTTATACACTTGTAAATCACTCAATGTGATTAAAAGTAAATTTGAAATACAGGTGCTGGTCATAAAATGAAAACATGATGAAAAAGTTGATTTATTTCAGTAATTCCATTCAAAAAGTGAAACGTGTGATTATATTCATTTGTTACACCCAGACTGATATATTTCAAATGTTTGTTTCTTTTAATGTTGATGTTTATAACTGACAATTAAGCAACTGACAAATTAGCCACCTCAATATGTCCTGGAGTGAACGCCCCTCACCTGCAGAGCTGCAGTGGTTTTGCATTACGAACACTTTGTAGTCATTTCAATAACGAGTTTACATCTTTTGTTTCATGTTCATCTACTGTAATAAACCTTTGTAAAATACACCAGAATGCAAGAAATGGCTTCTACTTTATCCAAAATTTTCTGAGGTAGGACCCTCAGACTGTGAGACTGTGCTGTGACCAACATCTGTGTTGGAAGAGACACAGTCTGATCCAGTTCTAATGTCGCTGTTTATAGAACGATTACTTTTTTCCAGCCTTGAGTCCATCTGGGCGTTCTGGTTCTGAAAAAGCCTAAAAAAGCCTAATTGTGGGATTCCATTCCACTGATCCATGCTATGAGTCTCCTTCAAGGTCGAACCCACCACGCTGACGAGTCCCAGAAGCCGCAGGTGGTCTGCGATTCTCAATCACCTCCACCTTACGGTTAAGCTCGTAAACCAGACGATTTAAAGTTCCCACAGCGAGGACCAGACCTTCACACTGACTCGGAAGCTTTACCATGGCTGAAACTGCTCCCACCGTCTTCTTCAAAAGTCGATAAAACAGAATCCCGCCGATGCCAAAAAGCAGAGTCCCTGCTATCATAATTCCCAATATGTAAACGTCTTCAACATCCTCCTGAGACAGAACTGAGAGGCACATCATCTGCCACACTCCCCACGGATCCATGACGTACCCCACAGCGTGAGTCTCATCTGGACACGCCGGTTCTCCAGGACCTTGTCGCTTTGATGAAAAAATCTTATCAATAGAGTTGAACGCCCACGATACCAGATCCATAATCTTCTTAATTTATGTTCGGGAGATGTGAACCAGGCACTTCAGACACACAGAGAGCAGAGCAGGAGGAAGGAAAAACGGGGGAGGAAAAACAGAAGCTGCCACCTCGATGAGAGCCTGGGAGGAAATAAAAAAAAAAACCAGTTGGTGTTACTCCTTCATTGACTCTGTGCTCTGAGTGATGTTTGACAGTAGTTTATCTGGACATGTATATTTTTGGCCAATAGCTCAGGTAAAAATGCTGACCTATAGAACATTTCTATATTTTTCACTGCTTCAGTAAAGAATCACATCAGACACAAACCTCTGACTAAAGTAATCTGACCCAGACCACACCATGAAGTCACAGTACTCCTGCTCTGTCACAAACACCTGAGCTTGTACCTGGTGTACCTGTGTGACCTCTGCTGAGTTCATAGGACCCGCTTGTGTTGTCAGTGCAGAAATGTTTCTTAACTGAGGCACCGAGGACAAAAAAATAATTGTTATAATCTCCTTTAAACATCATTATCCTTTGCTTTTATCTGTAATTTTCAAGTTTTGAATGTTTGTGTCATGACATACTTGGTTTAAAGTGCAGTGGCCACACATTACTGTCCCATCCTTCTCCAAGGACACCCATGGATTTAGAGGAGCTTCAGACAGGGACTGACTGATTAACCTGAAATGATACACATTACACATTAATACATGTCTGTTTAGTTAGTATTGACTGTTTCACTATTGTGGACATGTGCTGGTGTTTACTGACTGTAAGAACAGTCAGATGTTAGATACAGAGTCAGGATGTGCAGTATGGCATAAAATTCATATCCTGGCAATACTGTCTATTGTGATGAGAAGCCACACGCTAACTACGGTTGGCTAGCTTTGCTACTTAGCTCTCAAAGAAAACAGACTTTAACATCATTTACGCAGAGGTTTCAACTAAAAAAAACAACAGTTAATCTTCACTTTTACTGACTTCCACAGATAACGTAGCTCGACTAGAACACATAGTAGAACAGGAAGCCATGGCAAAAACAAGCTAGGAAAACAATCGCTGTCGCTCTGTTCACCCGTAGCCGTCCTTCACTTCTGACGTCCATCATGGCGTCTCCATGTGTTTCGCTGACGTATGTGACATAGTTGCAAAGGGTCAATATCTAAAGAGGGGGATCCCCAAGCTTTACAATGATACCAAGCATTATATGAAGGGATTTCCCTCCTCTACCAGTGCCAACACAGAAAAATGGTTGGTCAATTTCAAAGGACATTAAACTGATTATATTTTTAGACACACCTGTTAAAAAGCTAATTGGTAGAGTAAGAAGATGATTATTGTGTGTTTCCCCGGGCTCTTACAGAGCTGCCCACTGCTCCACCTGGTGTATCTCAGATGTGACGGGTGAAATACAGAGAACTCATTTCATCATTGTATGGATTACACAATGATGACAGTCTCAGACTTCCCTTCCCTTTATGGACCCTTTTTTTAACATAACTTTCTATTAAAACAAAAGTATATATATTTCTCCTTGAGGAGTCATTGTTTCATGATTTACTGATAGTGTTGTTTCAGTGTGAGACCAAACCGCATACTGTTGCTTTCTCTGCACAGATTCGCATAGATGGGAACAACGAGCGCTGTGTGCAACACTCGTCAGGCGGGCGAGGAGGAGCGGTGCCGTCCTCGTCTCAGAGTGGCCTCAGCGTCGGTGCGGAGGGCCAGTCCCGCCATCACCATCAGAGACCCATGAGAGAACGAGGGATGAAGAAGGACAAACAGGACGCTCCTGCGCTGGTGAACGGAGTGTCATAGATACACCCATGGAGGACTTTCTCTCACACACACACACAAAGTCACTCACAGGAAACTCATCGTAAAACATCACAGTCTTGTTTTTCTTTTTTTTTACTTTTTTTTTGTCTTTACACATCTTTACATCTGCATGGAAGAGTTTACTGAAATGAAGTCCTAAACCAGAGCTGATCTGGGATTTGCTGATCTGGTTTCTTCTCGCCCCTTGCTGTGTCTCCTGTTCTTCTCCGGACAGAGCAAGCTGTTCTGTTTTTGGACTAAAAAGAAGAAAAGTAGATAAAGCTTCATTTCTTACTGAATTATTATCCAAAATCTTCTGCCATTCGGTGCATTAAAAAAAGAAATGTGTATTTTTACCTTCTACTTCAGACTTGCTCACATTAAGGAACAAAGAGGTTTCCATTTGGAGGAATCTATAAACTGAATTATAGCTGCTCTAGATGACAGGATGAGATACTTTGTTTTGTTATCTATACACATAAAGTTTTTACTAATGGTGGGGAATCGTAGAGAGGATCCGAAAGCACAGTTTTGGGAGGTAGATTGTGCATTTTTCATAAGTACAAAAATTATTCAGCTAAAAAATTGTGACGGTTTCAAAGTCAGCTGCTGATTTTCTACAAGCGTTCTGTTCAACAGAAAATTCCACTTTAGTTTCCAGGAAAGTGTCATCAAAATATAAACTTAACAAGGCACATATATAACTTCTACATGTGGGAAAATGTTTCCAGATGGCACTCTATGATTTCATATTTGTGTACAGGATAAGAAACAAACAGGTGTGTGCTCCGAGGCTAGCTGAAACAAGCTGATGTTGCTATTTAAAGCCCCTGTGTTTGTCTCATGCCGCCTGAATATTGTGGGTTTTCTTCAGACTCTGGCTGTCGAGCAGTTCAGAAACCAACAGCTTAGACTAAAGTAAAAGAATCCAAGTGTTCAGAAGCAACACAAGTCTCAAACATTTGTGTCAAGGATATAAAATAAAGGTTGTAAAATGCAACAGCTTATTAGGGTTACTCAAAAGAAACAAAAACAATTGGAGGAGGAAATATTTTCTTTTGTGTGTGGGTTTGAAGATTAAAGTCAGAATAGGGAATTTTATATCCAGAATAAAGTTCATTTATTGTTTCAAGAAAAGAAAAGTTGCAGAAAAGAGCAGTTTTTAGAACCAAAGCTAAATCACAAGCCATGACGGGTGCATTGACCTACGATAGTTTTGTGCTGACACTTCTTTCTTCAGAATAATAATAATTTGAGCACATGCATCGTATCTTGTTTCTGGAGTTGTAGACAACTTTATATCTGTTTGAGACTCCTGTGAAGGCTGAAGGAGGTCATGAGTTCCCTGTTAGGGGTTATTATTAGGGGTTATTTAGGGGCCGAGATGGGGTAGAGGGATGGCAGCCGACTTGGGACCAGGAAGCCGCAGTTCGGCTCCCAGCCGTGCCCACATGTCGTGGTGTCAAGACACCTAATCCCTAATTGCTCCCCGGGTGTCTACAGAGCTGCCCACTGCTCCACCTGGGTGCCTCTCAGGTGTGATGGTTAAATGCAGAGAACTCACTTCACCATTGTTTGGGAACATGCACTGGTGACAATATCAGGCTTCCCTTATAACAGACCCTTAAGACCCGGTGGAGAACTGGTTCAAGTTCAAGTAGGCTTATTGTCATTTCACCGCATGTGGAACATGAGGTAGAACAAAATTATGTACACCGGTTCCCAGTTACTTCCAACAATAACAAAATTCAAAAATGTTCAATACAAAAAAAAATGGACTTTATTTGTAACAGAAGACGTTTTGCTCATCATCCGAGGAGCTTTCTCAATTCAAAGAGCAGAGAGTGAGAGATTCAGGTTATAAAGCTGAGTGAGATAAGACACACACACATATGCAGATTGACAGTCACACCTCACACCTTAACGGTAGGGGTTTCTTAAAGTCTTTGTTCATCTAATTCACAGATGAGACCCCTCTGTTCCCATCTGATAGGTGGGAATCAGTCTTAAAGTTGCATTATAGGTTTTTGAAAGTGGAAATCTGAGGCCTCCTCCTCTGTTAAGAGACGGCTTTTCTCTTTTTACATAAATTGCTTCCTTCACCCCCCTCTCAAACCATCTGTGTTCTCAGTCCAAAATGTGCACGTTCTGGTCCTCAAACGAGTGTCCCTTATCTGTGAGGTGGAGGTGAACAGCTGAATATTGTCCAGAGGAGGTGGCTCTCCTGTGTTGAGTCATGCGTCTGTGAAGAGGCTGTTTAGTTTCTCCAATGTAGAGGTCTGGACTTTTTGAATTCATCATGTCCTGGATGACTGAGAATCTTCACCAGCAACAATAGCAAAACTTTAAAGTGTAAAAAGAAACAGTAGATAAGGATGTGAGATATATAATGCAAAACAATACGGCGTAACAGCAGCAGCATGAACATGAGTCTGAGGAGATGAGTACAAATGAACACAGCAGCATGAGATCAGGAGCATGAGATCAGGAGCATGGATAATCAGCAGCACATATCACCAATCAAAGTGTCATTACAATGTGTTGTTGTTTTCACACTGATTATCCTGGTTAGGGATTTATGAGTCTAGCAACTTGAGGGTAGAAGCTGTTCCTCAGTCTAGTGGTTCTACACTGGATGGTTCTTTATAGAAATACCTCAAGTTATTTAGAAGTTAAAACAATAAAAGTAAAGCCGTAACCCTCGGATACAACCTGTATGTCCCCCCAGCACAGTTTGAGCACAATACATCCACCTCCCCATATTAGATTTAAATGCTGGCAAGTTTTCACTTTATTCTTGACGTCTTGGTTTGAATTTATTCTCAACAATTCAACTTCACTCTTGAAGTTCAGAATTTGTTCGACACTGACTTTATTTTTATAAAGTATGTTTTTCTTCACCATTTGGCTTTATTCTTGTCAAGCCAATCTGGACTTCTTCTTTGGTTTTTTTCCTGTTCAGGGTCATCCTCCTCCGTCTCACTCTGTCCTCTGCATCAAGTCAATCTAGACCAAGGCTTTTCAACTGGGGGCCCGCGGGCCGTGTCCGGCCTGCGGGTGACTTCAATCCAGCCCACCATTAAAAAATTAAACATTTGTTGGTTCTGGGTTTGGCTTTTGGGTTCTGTGTATTGCATTTATGATTCAATGCAATAAACAAATTTAAAGGTCACAGATCGTTGTAAACTTTGGTTTATGATTTTAATGGCTGGCTGTCCGGCCCCCGAGCTGCTGGCGTTCACAAACTGTGGCCCCCGAGCTGCTG